CTGGGCCCGTGAGCCATGGCCGCTGAGCCTGCGCGTCCGGAGCCTGTGCTCCGCAATGGGGGGGGCTGCAACAGTGAGAGGCCCGCATACCCAAAAAAAAAAAAAAAAAAAAGAGACAAATATCTTGGTGAGAGACTTCCCTGGCGGTCCAGTGGTTAAGTCTTCGCCTTCCAATGCAGGGGGAGTGGGTTCAATCCCTGGTGGGAGAGCTAAGATCCCACATGTCTCGCAGCCAGAAGACCAAAACATAAAACAAAAGCAATGTTGTAACAAATGCGATAAAGACTTTAAAAATAGTCCACATCAAAAAAAAAATCTTAAAAAAAAAAGATGAGTGTCTCAGTGAGAGAGAATGAGTAAGGATACATTCAAATTGTTCTATCAGCGACAAAGGCAGATTATTTCTTGATATCAGGTTTTGATCCTGGAAGGTCAGTGGATATCTTAAAATGAGGAGGAGAAATGAATAGAGGAAACCCCACAGAAGAAAAAAAAGAAGCCGAAACGGTTGATCGGGTGTTAGGACACATTTGCCTATTTCACTTGCCTTTGGATGGCTCAGAATGTGGAGGTGAGGGACCAGAAGTTATAACTGGAGCTTTTATTATTGGAAAAGAGAACAGCAATAGTACACATAAATGTTATAAATCTGAGCAGAGTTATTTTTTTTAAAAGGATATCAAATAGCTCTGTAAATTGCACACCATACTGAAAACTGGAATGGGTCCTTGACTAATTCTACCATGCTGTGTAAATACATAGAGGAACCTTCTAACATTTTATAGAAAAAAAAAAGATATAAACATTAATCCAGAATTAAAATAATTTAAATATAGATAGGAAAGCAAAAACTACCTCATTTAGAGAACAGTGTTTAAGTTTCATAAGTCTATAAAAACAAACTTGACAAATGTATAACTTTTGGATCACTTAGGATACCTGCAGTTATTTTAGTATTGCGCTTAATAAAAATTCAGCTGTATAAAATTGAATACAGTGAAATGTAAGATATTTCACCAGGATTAAGTTAATCCTTCTCTAACACAAGGAAAAATAGTTGCCCATAAACTCTATTTTTAACAGCCACTAGAGAGAGACAAGATGAGACTTATAAAAATCCCTTTCAAGAAGTTTTCCAGTACAATAACAGTTTATACCCAACACATACATAAGTACATTTCAAAATCTTTGCCTCGGCCAAGCTACAAAGTCTGACTTGTCAGAGTTACATCCTGTTTTTAAAGCATGTTTGCAATGAAGCTTGTCATACATCAGACCAGGGAATCTAGAAAGGATTGTCCTTTTTTTAAGAAACTTAATGGGCTGCATTCCCTTTGAGTTTTTCAAAGAATTATTTTAGTATCAAAACTCCACACGTGGAATGAAAAGCAATGGTTTTTTGTTGCAGTTTTCAGAATACACTGTTTTACTCATTTCCCGTGTACAATGGGGCCTGCCTCCCCCTGGTCTTTATAACGTTGATATGAGTACAGAGGTAAAACCACTGGAGTGAAAACACCATGAACCTGATCCCTTCAATATGCACTTTCTGTATTACAGTGTCAAGGCTGGGTCATGAACTGGCATGTCCGTAGAAGGAGAATCTGACCCTGGCTTTCAGGATCAGTTTGTGGGAAAGGAAATCTAAATGAGTGGGGAAGGTAAAGGATCAGAGACTAGGCAACTCTGTAAGAGCTGGCCTGATAGCAAGAATAAATTTGATAATAAAAGATGCATCTGAAAACAGGTTAAAGTTCCTTTCTCTGCATGTCTGCTTTGCTGACACATATGTAATTTATGAAGGTGGGTTCTGGAAACAGAATGCTGGGGATCACATCCCACCATCGCTTTAATATAGTGTGATCTTGGGGTACACTGCCAAATTTCCCTAAGCCCATTTCTTAATATTTTTGTCACCTCCTAAATATTTCCTACATAGAACTTATCATTATCTGTAATCATATTGTAGCTGTGAATACTCAGTTACTGATTATCATTCTTACTATAGTGAAAGCTTAGCGAATATGGATTCTGTCTGTCAGCTCGTCATCATATGGTCAGCCTCTTGCCCTGCATCAGCATTTTGTTGGCATCGGTAGAAGGTTGTGAAATAAATGAATGAGTGAGTGAATGAATGAATGAGATTTTCTGATATATCCGTCTTTACAGTAGGGTTATAACTGACATCGGGGTAGTCTTACTGGTTATGGCTTTGGGCTGCTGAAGGCATTTTTTTAAAAATGCAACTTTCACTGAAATTAAATCCTATCTTTTCTTTGCTTAAAATCTTGCCCTTTATGAGCGGACATTGCTAAGGTTTGCTTTTGTGATTCCCTTTCCTTCTCTTCAAGAGCTGAGCAGTACCTTTCTGTCCACACCATCTCTCTATGGACATATTAATATGTACAATCCATTTACTATCTAATCTTGCTGGCCTGGAATTCATTTTATCTTTCTAAGCTGACTTTGCATATTTTTTGGTTGGATTCATTAAATTTTAATTTTAAAATTTGTTTCTCAAATGTCATTTCCTATTACTTATGAGATAGAAATAGGTGTTTCAATGCATCTCCTATGTGCAAACAATACTAGTGCATCTATCTTTATTATGGCCAAATATCTATTTTTGTAGTGATAAAAAAATAATTGAGCAGAATTGCATAAATAAATACTGTTATACTAGGGCTTTATGAATTAAAAAGAATTTAAAGGTAGGTTTGTTTCTCAAAAAGAAATACAATTTTATTTACTAGTTCATATTTCTAATAAAGTAAATGGCAAATTTCTAGATGCTATAATCCTGTACTAAATTGAGACTGGTTGAAGTCTCTTAAACTAGCAACAAAATAAATAGCCTGACAAATGTTTTTAATGGGTTCTTCCTCTTTCATCTACTTCTCAGTATCTGTCTTCCAATTCTGAATCTCAAGCTCAAACACGTCAATCTTAGATTACAAATTCTATGATGTACATGTGTATCAGCATGTTTCATTATTTCAAGACCTCCTTTTTCTGATAGTTATTTTTGTATGGCTAACTTCTTAACCTTTTTATTTATTTTATTTATTTATTTATTAGTTAAAAATATTAGTGTATATATGTCAATCCCAATTTCCCAATTCATCCCACCCTCAACCCCGCTTTCCCCTTTTTGTGTCCAACTTCTTAAACTTTACTGGGAAGCTGATTAAGCAAATGAGATGGCTGGAAATCCCTGAATTTTAGTTTATGTTCACAGGTTATTTGTAAAGAAGTGGCCTAAAACTATTTCACAGTTGCCTAAATTAGCCGTTTTGATTACCACGCAAAGTTAGTAGTGACTGGGTGTTTGAAACAAATCAGTCTGAAATTACAAAATAATTCTCTAGTTTTTTTAGACCTGTGAATGCTGTATGGAAATTCTCTGTAGGAGACAAAGATTTTTCACATTTAGTTAAAAAAAAAAGAGAGAAAAGAAAGAGTCTTCTTTGTGATAGTCTTGAAGCACTTTTTAAAAAAAATGATATTAATAGTGAAATTCTGACTTTATGACCTTCAAGTCTGGAGCTCTGCTCTTGTTTACAGCTGAGTAAGCTCCAATGGAATTAACCCTCTTGCAGATAACTGTATACTCTGGATAAAACATTAAAAATAATGATGTGAGGGCATTGGAAGAAAGCCCAAAGCAGGAAGATCCAGGAGGCAACTTGACACTGGGAGAAGGAAACTGCTTGATGTCAGTTTCCTTTTTTTTTTTTTTTTTTCAGTTTCCTTTTTTTTTACGGCTGTGAGACTGTTGGCAGACCCCAGGCTACATCATGCTTAGCTGTTAAAACTCAATGGAAAACCCGCAGATGTTCTGGCTTGAGCAACCAGAGTTCAGAGTTTGGAGCAACCACAGCTGCTGCGAATTGAGAAGGTGGAGGAGAGAGTCAGACTTTTATGATAGATGACTCTCCTACAAGTAGTCACAATGTGACTGATAGATGACTCTCCTACAAGTAGTCACAATGTAATGTCTATTGGGAAAAGGTGCTACACCAAAATGGAGCTAAATCAGTATCATTCAATGTACATGCGACCCTGATGACTGTCCAATAGCTAGCATACATAATACTTCATATGCTGAGAGAAATACAATCCCCTCTTCTCAAATACAAAGGATGTATATATACATTTACGATTTTAGGCACAGGCTTCTGATTCTATAAATATAATTAATCCTTGGGCACCTGGTAGAACAACCTGGAAATATCCATTTTGATGTGCATATATTTAGGGTGTGGTCTTGCCAATTTGTTGACTAGAAAACCAGTGTTGCATATGACTTTAAGAAGGAGATGTTTCTTCAAATAACCCATCACTTTTTTTCTTTCTTTCTTTCTTTTTTTTTTTTTTGCATTTCTAGTATCAACACACTTATCCTGGTTTAGAAACTTTGTTCGAATTTCTAACATGATTTCCTTCACAGGTCTTGAATTTTTCATCCACTACCTAACTTGTCCAAAAAAAATGTGTGAGATGGGACCCATCTCTTAATTGAACTGCTACTCTGCTCCCTAACTTGATTTAATTGTATTTCTTTTGAAGCTTCTCTGCTTCTCACACCAAATGGAATTTATGCCCTTAGTTAATACTCAAGTCAACCTTCTCCAATCGATGGCATTTACATGGAGCCCAGCCCAGTGCCCAGTGCATAAGAGGTAGTTTACGATTGTTGAATGAATGAATCAACAAATGCATAATGAAATTTCTTAGAAAAAGCAAAATAGTGTTTAAAAGACTAGAAAGGAAGTTATTTCACTGGTCAGAATTTTTCTGGTAGATCCAGACATCCGACTTAGCATCAGAAGAGCTACAGAGTGTAGGATTCCTTTCCTTCTTTTCTTTGGAGTACCGTGTTCTTTGACCTTCAGGGAAACAACAACAAAACTCCAGCCTTCCTCCCACCTTGCTGCCTGGCAAACAACAGGCTCTGACGGCAGACAGACTGGAGTTTAAATTTTAGTTCTGTCACTTACCAGCCACGTGGCCTCCTGCAAGTTACTGATCCTTGCTGGGTCTGCCTCCTTCAACTGTGAAGTGAATGGGCTGCTCCCAGAGCTAAATGAGACAAAAATGGAACATTTTTAGTAAAATAATACCTGGTAGAGAGTAGTAATTATAACTTAGTCTTACTGAGTTTCCTTATGTGTTAGGCACTTTATATACATTATTTCAGATCATGCCTACAGCTGGTGGATACTATTTTTAGGTTCATTTTACATATTTTTTAAAAAAGGGGTTTATTGGCCAACTCTAAGTAGTTCCAATCCTCACCCAGGCTTCTGTAATTGGATTGCAAAGTCTACGCTCACCACTACTTCTCTTTGCTGACTCTTTATTTATTTATTTTTTTTGCGGTATGCGGGCCTCTCACTGTTGTGGCCTCTCCCGCTGCCAAGCACAGGCTCCGGACGCGCAGGGTCAGCGGCCATGGCTCACGGGCCTAGCCGCTCCGCGGCATGTGCGATCTTCCCGGACCGGGGCACGAACCGGCGTCCCCTGCATCGGCAGGCGGACTCTCAACCACTGTGCCACCAGGAAAGCCCTGCTGACTCTTTAGAACGTGTCAGAGGTTGGAAGCAACTACCGTCACCATCACTGTGTTAAGTATCTTACTTAGGACACAGCAGAGCACCATTTATTCTTGACTATAATCAACTTCATAGGATTTGGAGGACTGGGGTTTGAGAGATGGTTAAAGTTGTTACTAATCAAAAGTTTGTAAAGATCTCTATGTGACCATCTCCTTCGTGAAGTCCATAACAACCACATTTTTCACAAGACACAAATCAGAGGGTTGTTTTGTTTTTGTCTAGAGTACTATTTTTTAAACTGCCTGCTAAGTCTGTAATCTAAGAATTTATGTTTCTGTGTGTCATAAAGATGTTTATAATATCCTTAAATCAATAAGGATTCATTTTCCTCCGAGTAACCATATTCAGAACAAGGTTTGTTTATTAAGAACTTATCAAAAAAAAAAAAAAAAGACCTCAGAATGTTAACTACAGGGCAATGTCAACTTGGAAATCTTAGGGGTTGGGTCAATCATACTAATATTTGAGATTCTGGTTCCAGGAAGTCTAGTTTTTTTGGGTTTTTTTTGTGGTACTCGGGCCTCTCACTGTTGTGGCCTCTCCCGTTGTGGAGCACAGGCTCCGGACGCGCAGGCTCAGCGGCCATGGCTCACAGGCCCAGCCGCTCCGCGGCATGTGGGATCTTCCCGGACCGGGCCACGAACCCATGTCCCCTGCATCGGCAGGTCGACTCTCAACCGCTGCGCCACCAGGGAAGCCCCCAAGGAAGTCTAGTTTTAGCTGACAGACTGGCCGCTCCAATAAAGGGTTGTCCTCCCACTTTGCCCTTGCTTGGTCAATGCATATAAAAAGGGATATCCTGAAAAGTGACATTTTTTAGAGACATTACTGTTCATTGCCTTCAAGGATTGCTTGAGAGAAGACAAGCTCATGCCCTTTAGCTCCACCTCCGTGCTCTGAGGCTGGACCCATCAATGTTCTTCAGTAACGATGTCTGAGCTGTCTCTTGAACTAATTTATGCCTCTGTTCTTATTCGGCAATTTACTTTCCTGGTTGAACATCTCAAACAAACCAAAGCAGCTCTTCTGGAAATTCTTCTTTATCCTTATTTTATATTGTTTCTTAAGGTTTGCATCACAGGTCTAACTAGCTTGTACTTCTTTATCAAATGATCAAATGCTTTCCTAATTTTGAACATGCTGCAGTGACAGGATTTCCTGTTATCGTGAAAAGTTCAGTGATATTTGGTTTAGCGGTTTTCAAGCGGTTTTAGCGGTTTTAGTGTTCAATATGCAAATTGAAAATATTAAGGTTAGGAATAAAGACTTCAGTTGCTTTGGATTTCTAAAAATAAATATTATTAACTAAAAATCATTAAAAGGTCAAGATGATGGGATTGTTTCCAAATACAGGAAGATGTTTTGACTGGTTTCTAAGTGGTGGGGTCCTATTTTCTTCATATTTATGATTAATGTTCCCCCAGCCCTGTTTACTAACTTTACAGTATCACTTATCTACTTATGTGTAGGTCCAGTTAGGCCAGGGAGGTAAAAAACACTGTAAAAAATTTCTGAATTTTAATCTTGCAATTTGCGTCTGACGTGGTTAAAAATGTGAGAAAATTAAGCAGTGTTTTGTAATTGCAGTGTGGATACACCTTAGTGGGTTGTTGAGAAGAGAGTGAATAGATACTGTTAAACTATTGCAAGCATTAGAACAGATGCACCCTGAGCAGTTACCTTAAGGTACTTAATTTTGCTACGGAAGAATTATTTCAGATGTTGTTTGTTAGGCTTAAAATGTATACGACCATATCCCAAAGCTAGAGGCTGTGACGTATCTGTCAGTCTTTGTGAGTAGAAGGAGATTTCTTGATTTCTTTCCTCAGTCTGATTGAAACTGTGAAGATGGCTAGAACTCCAAGGCCAAAAACATATAAAGCAATATAATGACTCAGGTTTTCTAACATAGTGGAATAAGTAGGATTTGGGAACCTGTACCATTCTCCCCCATTTCTTGGGGTCTACCCTTTTCCCTACTTGTCTTCCTGAATAACTTGGGGGCTACACGTCCTTGGCTGCAGTTGACTGGTCCAGTGATGGATCCCTGACTTTAGCTAGGCCACTTAGAATACATCCCTAGTATTTTTCAAACTGATACCAATGAAAAGAATCCATGTTTTTCCAGGAGTAGAAGTTGAAAGGTGTACAGCTCACGGGCTGTTGGTGGCTGTGGTGGATGGACTTAAGGTGACCCCACATCCCTGGTCCTGGTGCAGATGTGCTTGTGTAATCCCCTCCCTCTGAGAGTGAACAGCATCTGGGGCTTGCTTCCAACACACTGAGTAGGGCAAAGGCGTTGGATGTCACTCTTGTGATCGCATTGATTATAGAGACTTCACTGTGGGCTGACGTTTCAAAGCAAGGTTCCATGAGTCCTGCTACCACAAGGAAATGAATTCCACCAACAACCGGGGGGAGTGTGGGAGCAGGCCCCGCCCTAGTCGAGCCTCTAATGACAGCGAAGCCCTGGATGATAGCTTTGTTGCAATTTTATGAAATCCTAAGCAGAGGAGCCAGGTAAGCCGTGCCTGGACTTCTGACCAAGGGACTGTAAGATAGTAACTGTATGTTATTTTATGCTGCTAAGTTTATGGGAATTTGTTACTCTTTTGTATTTTTGAAAAGTCTGATCATGGCGTCATATAGCCAAAACTGCTAGCTGTTTCGAGGTATCTGTATATTTGACTATAATGTTTAAAAGTCTAACTTTATGTTTTCCATTTGAAACTGATGTTTTGATGTTGTGTATAGGCTAAATGTAAAAGTAACCATATTCAAAGCATTGGCTGTACCCTTTTGACTTAACATCACTTAATTTCATTAATTATGGTAATTGACATGGATAAGACTCATGGAGAGTCCTGTAGCCCTTTCTCTCTCTTTTCCCAGAATCTTTCCTCCAGTTTTCTAAAATATTAGTTTGAACACAATTTACCCCAATTTCAAAATGATTGCATTCTCACCATTGAGTAAATAGCAATAATTCTAAACCCCTAAATACCTTTCCCAGTCTCCTCATAGACAGTGGATAATAAAAATATTGTGAAACTCAAATTAAAAATATCAGCATAAATGGTGAGAATTTAGTGTGATTCTCCAAAATTACTTAATAACAGTACAGGCTTGTAGTTAATTTCCTGCTTTTTATTCCTGGACATAATAGCATCTGCTCATCTGGCCCTTTCTTCTCTCTCTTCTGCTCAGAATGCAAGAAACTGGCCACTTGCAATGGTTTAGCTGCCCTAGTATCCATATTATTCTAGAAGGACAAATGTAGTGGAAAACAAAGAAACAAACAAAATCTCATCCTTACCTGTATTGCATAGAGCACATCTGGCGTGGTGGCCGCAAGACTGGAGAGGGGTAGAAAGCATGGATTGCTTCCCAAATGCATTCTTCACTGGGTTATGCTTTCTATTGTGAGGTTTGGTCTTAAAGAGAAAGATAAATTGTTGAAGATCGTCATCACGTAGTCATTTATCTACTCATTTGAAGATTGTTTACTTAAACAAAGACATATGAACCACATGCTTAATCAATACTATTTGATAATAAGCAAACGGGAGTCTGGAAATTTGTAGAATTGAAATTCATGAATATACACAGACATTTCTACGTGGATTCTTTTCCTTTCTTCATTCAAGGAACACCTCCCCTCTGTGTGACATCCACAAATCTTCATTATGCAATAGATCTATGAGATCAATAGATGCTTTGATTCATAACATACTTATTGTTCCTCTCAGATTACTGCAGATAATTTTTATTCCTGTTTTATAGATACAGTGATAAAAAATTATATAGCATTACAGAAAGGTTTAGCCAGGACAGATCTTCTCCAATTGTGTTCCCTGAGAACCACATGTCTCATATCTTGGTGGCTGCTTGCAAACAAAAAGTCCCATGAGCAAGTAAACTTGGAAAATGTCCTTCACAGAATTTAATAATAAACATTAGCATGTGTTAAAATGCTCTGAGAAGCTCTAATATATAAAATTAAATGAGGGAAGGATAAAGGAAACAAGGTAAAAGAAGAAATCTGCTTTAAGATTAAATGATCAAACTTCATTGCACCAAGGTAGACTTTTTCCCAGTATATCTCCTGATATTCTTCAGTCCCTTCTTGCAGACTTTCTCTCCCACCCCATCCCCAAAGCTGTCCTCTGGACAGCACTATGACAAGCCAGGTCTAGGGGCATCCACTAACAAATACATATCTGTTGGGCTCTTGCTCTGTGCCAGCCATGGTGGTAGGTACTGGACACTTAATGTTGAGCCAGCACAGTCTCCTGCCTGCCCACGATGAGAAGAGAGTAGTAGAGAAATAAACAAGCAGCTGCAGGGAAAAGCAAAGCCTGTTCATAAGAGTACATCAATGGCGAGTAACTTTACACAGTTGGGGAGGGAGCATGGAAGGCTTTCTGGAGGAGGAGATATTTAAGCTAAAACCTGACTGGTGGGTTTCTGTGTACCAGGTGAAGAACCAGAGGAGAGGTATCTGTTACAAAAGAGTGATTTGCTTGCAGGACAGAAAGCCTGGAAGGAGACTCTTTCAGTATGGCTGGAGCTACCCCTGAGTGTTGTTAGGCCTCAGAGATTGGCAGGGCCAAATTCTGAAGAGCCTTGAAGAATTGTTTTTCTTTTCTTTCAATGAGAGTTATTTCCCCTTGAGTTATTCGTCTAATTTTTTCTCTTATAGACGAGAATGATGCACATGCATGATTAATAGACCCATTAACTCAGAGAGTTAGGGCATCATCAGTGGCATTCAATACTTCCTTCTAAGCCTGCATTGAGCTTCCAGAAGATTGACAGTGACTGATTCTACTCAGACGGGGTCCATAACGTTCTTTTTAATGGTTCCATTTCATCCTAAAATTTTACAAAACCTGTATTTAGTGTCTTTCCACTTAAGCAAACTGGTAGATTCCAGTGTTAACAAATATCAAAGCCAGAGACGCCTGCCTACATTCTTGTCTGGCTTTTGCTAGACTTGAAAGTGTTATATGATTGTTCGTTTAGCAGCAGTCTCTAAATAAGAAAATATTGCAACACATGCTTGAGGTTTTTTTCAATTAAATTTTAAATAGATGCAGAAATCTGGACGCTGACTCCCTTTAAATGGTTTAAATTTTAACAATATATTTTGCATTGTGCAATAAAGAACCAGCTGTAAATGCAATGAATATTTGTTTATGATGTCTTGGTGGTAATTGGGTTTAGCAAGGCATGCAAAGAGCAGTTTTCTTCAAATGACTTATTGGAAGTGTGAAAGGAGGACAAGTTTCCTTTCTACAGGCAAGCTTCCTTTCTTCAATCCTAGTGATGGCATTGTGAATAAATTGCAAAACAGATTTAATACCGAGCATAAAAGACCATTGTCCCAGGTGCATGGACATAACTTATAATTACTCTACTGTGTAAAGGATGCTATTACTCTGACTTACATTTGTTATAATTACTGGGAATTATTCTTCAAGTAGCTAGGAAAAAATGATCATTAACAGATGATGTCCTGTGTAATTCTGATATATGATAACCAGCACGATTTTATTCTTCTCTCCAGAGGTAAAATGCTTCGCTTATAATAACAATTTAAGAATTGGGGGGAATGGTTTGGAACCTGCTTCCTGAAAGATCACTGAAAATGTTTTGCTGCTCCTATAAAATTCCGCTAGTTTATTTTCCATTAACATGTTTATTTTTAACCGCCAGTGTTTTTCTAGTGAAGAATCATGATCCATCAGGGCCTACTTTGTGCCAGCTGTGGTTCAACTGTTTTTTATTGCTGGAGCAAGACACAGGATGACACACAATTGTCTTTAAGGTTAGATATTTCACCCATGACAACTCAGATGCCTTTTTTTTTCCCAGTGACTGAATTTTCACCTTCAAATCCCAGAGGTCACCCAAAGGTAATGTTTTCCTTAAAACATACCTATTAAAGTGACCTAAGCCTTAACATAAACAAAATCTTTTAAAAGGCAGGCGCCCGAAAAATCCAGGATTTCAATCCTGGCTCCAATGTTTGAATATGAAAAGGCGAGCAAGGCATAATGAAATTCCTTTTGAAGCAAGCCTTAATTTTAAAGAAGTAGCCTAATTTAATCATACAACCCCTTCCTCCCCACAAATGTATCGTCAGCTTAGATTTTCTTCCTTTATTGGAAAAAAAAAATTCACTTGTTAACTGTAAATACTGAGTCTTACCAGTGATCATCTTTCTCCATGTAATGTATTACTACTGTGTTGACTATTAGGTTATTAAAAATGAAATAATTCCAACCTTTCATAGCCTTAACTTTCCCCAACAATATTATCACAGCGGCCATGCACATATTCCTTCCACTTTTCTGACAATTTGACTCAGCTGTAAAAGTTTATGGATACATGTTGTTTTAAGGTCTGATTAAAATAAATAAGGAAGGAGAATAGAAAGCAATGTTTATTAATGCCTACTATGTGTCGAGCGCGTTTATAGAAATACCTTAGCTATTAGTCACTTTGTTTTGAAGAAGAGGGTTTAGAAATCCTGCACTATTTTCTCAGTCCCGTGTCTTATGTGACTTGTGGTTTCCTGAACTTTGTGAGGTTCTCACAATCCACCTTGTAAATTTGCTGCAGGGCTGTTTGCCTCTCGAGCTGGAACTGCCCCGACATGATGGACACGGAATCATAAAGGCAGGATGGCCTGATTCTTTGCAGGTGATATTGGAGGTAGAACCGGTGTTTCCAGTTCCTGGATGTGGGACCAATTGAAGGAGAAATGGAATTAACTGCATCTCATCATCCAAAATCATTCTGCTGCGTTTCTGTAATATGGGCTTTATTTCCACAAACAGGAACTAAAAAATCTGAAGATGCTTGGGATAGACCTCCAATGTAAGGAAACATAACAATTATTTATTCTCACACCGCTTAAAAGAAGGGGAGCCAGTTATTTCGTTTTTATGTTATTTCAATTTTTTTTTTCTGGTGTTAAAAGTAAAACATGCCCATTTTAGAAAACATAAAGACATATAAAAAAGAAAATAAAAATTGAGCATAATGCTGCCATCAGGAAATAATCACACTCATTTGGGCATATCTATAAATATGTGTTTAAAATTGGAATACTATCACATATATTTTGAAGATTGGGATCGTAATGTAAGCAGGACCACTTAAAATTTACTTTCTTTGAGTCTCTCTCAGATTTTTATTCCCATTGCAATTAGAGAAGCTCAGATCTTGACCTGGAAAGCCACATAATCCTAGAGGGATTTTTTTTTTTTCTATGCATTATTCTGGGAGATCCCAGTGCTCTTAAATATACTTGAAAACATGACTTTCCATGGCTGCTTAGTGTTTAGTCCTATGGACATAATACAGTTTTTTTAAGCATCCCCTCATTGTTGGACATTTAATTCGAAAACAGTTTGTTGTTGTTTTAAGTCATGCTTCAATGAACACGCTTGGAAACTCTGAGGGGAACTTCCTGGCCCGGTTCACAGCTATATCACAGGGTCACGTGCACCGGCCAGCACAGGACTAATGCTCAATAAAAACGTTTTGCATTAATTAATATATTTCTCTGAATCTCTTCCTATCTCCCTGGGAAAGATTTCTAGAAATGGAATTACACGGTCAAAGTCAATGAAGTTTAATAAGTCTCTGTATAGGGAACTGCATTTCCCACTTGTATTAGCACCCACATGGAAAGGGTGACTTATTCTTACTGAAGCTGCTGATTAAGTGGAAGTATTGACAGTTTATAACATAAACACGGCCTCAAGATCCTCCATACAACACTGGAAACTCTTCTGATCTTCTAATTCTACCTGCCACACAAACACCAACTCAATTTCATCTCTCTTTTTAAGATGTATGTCAGTGATGTTCAAAAATTTTCTCCTCTTGAATTCCTCAGAATTCTTCTTTTTTTTCTGGTGGGGAAAAGATGAACTTTTAATTTTTATTTCTTTATTTTTAATTTTTAATTGGAGTATGGTTGACTTACAACGTTGTGTTAGTTTCTGGTGTACCGCAAAATTCTTAATAACGGTAACTCTGTACTTTCCCCTCAATAAATTATTCAGTTATGCTATTTTCTCCTGTGTGTGTATGTGTGTGCGTGTGTGTTTTGTTTTTGTATGTGTGTGTGCGTGCACGCGTATGTGTGTGGTTGGCCAGCATTTCACATGACAATGTCTTATTTCTTTAACTAGAGTGTAGACCCACGGAAGACAGAACATTGTAGTGATTGAGAGCACAAGTGATATGGCTCTAATTCTTAATGGCTCAACACAAGTGACCTAACTCTGTCTTTTCATCTGTCGCTGGGATTAGTGATATGTCCCTCTCTTGAGTGTTCTAAGGATAAAATGAGAAAGTGTATGTACAGTGCTTAACACAGAGCCCTGTAGATATTAAGTGCTCAATACATTTTGGT